CCCAGTCTCCATTATCCCCTCCCTGCTCCCTCCTCAGCCACCATTACCCCCTCCCCGTTCCCTCCCTAGAACTATTACCCGCCCCATGTCCTTCGCAGCCCACCCCAGACTCCATTATCCCCTCCCTGCTCCCTCCTCAGCCACCATTACCCCGCAGCTCTCTCCCACCGCTACTCCCGCGCTCCGCCGCAAAGCCCGCTGGGAGCCGGCAGAGCCAATAGCGAGCGGCTCCTGTTGGCCCCGCCCCCTGTCCCGGCATGCCTCGCTCCCCCTTCCGCTTCCGCTGGGTAGCGGCGGGACCGGAGGCGACGTGTCGGTAACGGAGCGGGGACCGGGCCTGAGACCATGGTGAGGGCCGGGGCTATGACCATGACTGGGGCCCTGGAACCGCGCCGGGGTCGCGTTGAGGGGCCGGGAGCCACCTTCATTACCCCCGTTCCTAGAGTCATTATCACTGCCCTGCTCCCTCAGCCTCTCCCAGCTCAGCTCCTCTCCCTGTCACGTCTCACTCCCACTATTAGAACCATTTAGACCGCATTAGGCCCATTCCTTGGTTGCCATTTGTCGTGCTTTAAGCCGGGACGATAACTCACTCCCCTCCTTTCCCCTCTGCTCCCGGAGGGATGGGGAGGAGAATGGAAGGATTGTAAATTCCACGGGTTGGGATAAGAACAGTCCAGTAACTAGGGTATAACAGAAATCATTACTGCTATCACCGATAATAATAAGAGAAATAACAAGTGGAGTGAATACAATTGCTCAGCACCCACCAACTGATACCAGCCCGACCCAAGCAGCGATCTGGGCCTTCTGGGTGACTCCCCCCAGTTTCCATAGTGGGCATGGCATGCTGCAGTACGGAATACCCCTTTGGTTAGTTTGGGTCTGGGGTCCTGTCTCTGCTTCCTCCCAATTTCTCACTGGTAGAGCATGAGACTGAAAAGTGCTTGATTGGAGTAAGCATTACTGAGCAGCAGCAAAAACATCGCTGTTACTGGCGTTGCTCTCAGACTAAAGTCAAAACCCCAGCTACTAAGGAGCAAAATAACTGCTCCAGCTGAAGCCAGGACACCATTTCCCCCAGCCGGTTACTTCTCCCTGCTCACCTTTGCTTTGTACCTGCAGGAGCTGGAGGCAATGAGCAGATACACCAGCCCGGTGAACCCTGCTGTGTTCCCGCACCTCACCGTGGTGCTGCTGGCCATTGGCATGTTCTTCACCGCCTGGTTCTTCGTGTATCCCCTGGCTGGGGGGGGGGAATGGGATGTGAAGGGGGGGAACGACAGGGAGTGGACAGGGGTTCCTCTCACCCCACCTCTGTTATCACCTTAACCCCGGGGCTGCAGCTATGAGGTGACTTCTACCAAGTACACACGGGACATCTACAAGGAGCTGCTGATCTCGCTGGTGGCCTCGCTCTTCATGGGCTTTGGGGTTCTCTTCCTGCTGCTGTGGGTCGGTATCTACGTCTGAGGCACAGGCAGCAGAGCACTGGGACCACCTTGTGAACGCCTGTAGCTGTAAGCTCCTGAGGGCTTGGGGGGGGGGGGTGTCCAGAAACATGGCTGATCTCTGTAAAAGCCACCTTTCCTCATATAGAGGTGGGATGTGCAAAGGGCTGTGCCTCCTTGCAGCAGCAGCCCCTGGGATGGGTGTTGCTGGTGCTCTGTGGCCTCAGAGCGTGGCCCTGGGGAGCATGGTCCCACCAACCTCCTTTATCTCCTCTTTGGTTCTAGGTGGGATGCCCTAAAGAAGCTCCTTTTGTACCTCTTTTCTACTTCAGCACCACATCCCATAGCAGACATGGGCTGTGCTCCCTCGAGTGACTTCTACCAAGCCAACAAACCAACCCTGAATAAAACTGGCTCTGTGATGCCTCTGCCTTTGCACTCATGGTTTCTCTTTTAAATGATTTTGTGGTTTTCTAAACCACTTTGATTTTGGCCCAAGATCCACTTACCTTGGGCTGGGATGGTTATTTATGGATTTTCAAAGCTGTTGGTGCCCAGACGTGTTTCACTGCAGCAAGACTCCAGAAAATCAGTGTTTCCTGCTTCCTCCTAAGCCTGTTTTTATAGCCTTCAATCTTCCCACCATCGTGTCCCCTCACCTTCTCACCTGATGGCCATGCTCCTTCTAATCCTGAGCCAGTGGCTTTGTGGCCCCCACTCTTTGGCCACTAGAAGAGTTTATGGACTATATATTAATAGGTAGTTTTCAGTTTATAACCCAGTTTTCAAAGCATTTAGGTGTGGCAAATCCCACTGATGAATGACGTGGGGGTTTCCTCCATCTTGTGGGAAGCAGTTTTACAGCTACTGAACCAAAACCCAGTTATTTCCCAGCAAGGGAGGATGTGCCAAGAGCCATCCTTGGATACAAAGCAGTATTTATATATTTATTTATATGGGTATTTTTACCTCCAGCATAAAACAAAGTCTAAATAAGCCAAACAATAACAACAAAAAAAAAAAAAAGTGGGGAATCCAGAGATTCAGCACTCAAATGCAGCAAAATATAAATACAAATCAGAAAGAAAGGAGGGAAACCACCTTTGTTCCCCACAAATAAAAACTGAGCATGGTAATACCTGCTAAAGAATGCAACCCTACAAACTTGCTGGCAATATACAGTGATTAAAGCTGTGACAGCAACATTTAAAACCCAACAAATTAGTGCTTTACTTGTTTTCTTCCTTAACTCGTGCAGTGGTGGCAGAGTCTCTATTTACAGGCTTTTAAGCTCCATCAGTAGGACAGAATGTTTGTGAATTTGCTTTTGAAACAAACTCTGAAACAGCCAAGCTTTGGCAAGTGGCCTCATTTCCACTTTGTTTTCCTTCCTGCTGAGGATGTCTGGAGGGATGAAGTGTTTCCAGTGGGAAGAGAGGGCTTTTCCCTAAGCTGGAGGGCTGGAGGCAGCAGCTCGGAGCTCCCTCCTCTTGTGCAGGGCAAGGCCTGATTGTGAACTCTTTTGTTACTGATTGGGGATGGGGAACACATCTGTTAGGGCACAGACACTTTGGGGGGGACTCTATATAGTTGTTTCCTTGGGCTTTGAAGCAATCCTGTGAACTTCAGTAATCACAAACCCCTTTGGAGCTCATTTCTGCTTTGCTCTGCAGCAGCTGCCAGACACTTTGTGATACACTTGAAGACAAGATACAAGACACTAAACCCTGCATTTTGGATCCCTCTCCTGACACCATGGATTGCTTCAGCCCGGTGCTGCTCTGCTGTGACACAGCTGTATGTGGGTAGGACCAGCCTTGGCACTTCAGGTGTTGCCTTAGTCTCAGTTTTTAAGCTATTTCCCCCTGGTTTTGAGGCACTCAGTGGTTTATGTACATGCGGGGAACCTCTGTTCCCTTGTGCTGTCCTGGCATCAGAAAAAAAGGCACTAGAGATGTTTCCGTAGCCCTTAGGCACTTGGGTTGCTGGGAGCCCTCATGAACCCCATGGTTCAGCGTCATAGGGATACCTGAGAGACTCCATCTTCTCTTGGGCCACTGCTTGTAGCACTTATCTAGTGATTGATTCCTTCCCTTCAGGAGTGGCTTTGGAGCTGCAGTCATGGCTCTTCCTCAGCCAGGAACACCAGTAAGTGGGTGATTACAGGCAGTGCTTTCAGCCCTAGCCATCACAACACCCCCCATCACCTCTTCAGGGACTGAATGAGCACATGGGCATCTAACTCAGCTTGACAATACAAGGGGAAACAGCAGGTCTGAGATGCAGACCTCTAAGATTGGCAGAATTCAAAGAGTACATGGTGTCACCCACCACTAAGGACAGGTCAGACTGGGCCACTGATTGCCAAGTGGAGAATAAAAGCTGCCAAGAAAGTGCCTTCCCAGTTTAAGGCCAAGCAGAAGAAGGGTGGATGGAGGGAAGGGTTCTGTGTGGCTTCCCCAGAGCTACACCATGGGGTGTTATTCGTGCTCACTGGGAGAAACAGAATCCTGCTGAGCATGGCACAGGGTGCCCAGGGAAGCTGTGGCTGCCCCATCCCTGGCAGTGCTCAAGGCCAGGTTGGACACAGGGGCTTGGAGCAAGCTGCTCCAGTGGAAGGGGTTGGGGTTGGAGCTGGATGAGCTTTAGGGTCCCTTCCAACACAAACCACTCTGGGATTCCATGGAGCTGAGCTGTGTGTGCGCAGGTGCTCCCACCTTTGGGGTCTCTTGTGTTCCCACTGAGCTTCCCAAAATCAGGTAGTCCCTTAGCTCTGCTCCTGCTTGGCTGCCCAGCATTCCCTGCTCACCCACTGGATCCAGCCTGCTCAGTTTTCCATGGATTTTAGTAATTGGAGAGCATAACTAGTGTATAGTTGTGCTTGGTGCCTGTGGGAATGCAGCCCTGAGCTGCAAGTAAGGAGCCTGTGGTGGCAGAGGCACCTGCTGCTGGTGATGTCACATGGAATTGCAGGGGTATGGCTGCTTTCCTGGGACATGCTTGGAAAGAAGCTCCAGGATGTGTGACAGGAGTTGAAAACTGCTCCTGGACTTGGAAGAGGAGGATGTGCAGAGTCTTTGCAGCTTGTTTCTCCAGAGCAGCAGAGCCATCCATGGACTCCTCAGTGCTGGTGAAGGGAAGGAGGGATTGCTGTGTCCACCTCCACTGAAGGCAACAAAATGCAGCAGCCGGAGCCTGATGCTGATTCCCCCAAACCAGTTTGGTTCAAATGATGTCCAGTGGCAGGGCTGCAAGGGGCAGGATGTGCTCTTCTCTGAAGCCAGCTTAGAGTGAGCTCCAGGATGGGTGAGTGACATTCCCCCCTCACTGCCTGTCCCCAGCAGTGCCTGAGCGTTCCTTTGGGAAACAGCTCATCCTCCAGGAACTCAGATGTCTCCTTAGCAAGAGGTGCTGGAGCAGGATGAGGGGAGGACACAGGCACTGGTTGGTTGGTCTGATGCATCCCAGCACTGCTGTAGCTTTAACACGGAGCACCGCAGTGGCCCCCTTTGGTTTTCTGTGCAGGACACACGTAGCTCAACAGGGACAGAAGTAAAAGACCCATTTTTATACAGTTTAAACCCAAACTAATTCAGTAGTTTAGCAAGTTAAGAACTTGTAACAGTAAAATACCCAAAATACACTTGTCTGCTTTCAGCCAACAGTGCCAGCGAGGACACACAGTCACTGCCATTGCCCCTTTGGGGGTGACAATCAGCCTCTTCAGTGCCTGGCAAGGAGCTGGTAGCCAGTGAAGCCACCTCACATGTCCCCAGGGACTCACCCTTGCTCTGCATGGTGCCACCAGGCTTTGCCAGGGGTCTCTCATGCACATCACCTGGGTGGCTGGGTCAACCTGGCAGCTCCACGCACTGCAAGAGGCCACACACTGCTGCCAAATGACAGTAAGAAGGGGTCCCACCACATTTAATGCAGGTGACTCAGGGTCATTGATGGGAAGTGTCCTCACGCATGGTATGGCCTGGGCACAGCCTCAGCAGCAGCTTTAGTGGGGTTCATCCAGCCAGACCTGGGTAGGGTGAAAGAGTCCAGCAAGGAGGGGGACAGAAGGGGCTAAAAATGAAGCTGCACCTTCTCTCATTGTCCATAGAGAGTCCATTCCAGGTCCAGGGGTCAGGGGGCTATGGAGGGGTGGCCCTGGGCCAACCAGAAGGAACAGCAACTCCAGTGTATGACTTCCAGTAAGTCCAGGCACAGCCTGCCTTTCCAAGCCAAACTCCAGCGTTGTGCTCTTGGAAAGGGCTCCAGTGTTGAGCAATTCCAGTGTTGTGATGTGGTACATCAGGGCCAGCACAGGATGGAGCTCCCATCCGTGGGCAGACCTGTCCAGTGTAATGCTTTCAAATCCAGTGTTGCAAGGGGAAGGAGAAGCGATGGAGGACACAAGCATCCCAGTAAGGGATGGGGACACAGGTTTGGGATGGTGGAAGTCAGGGTGAGGTGAGCCCAGGAGATACCAAGGGGCTGGTTGTGTTTCTGTGGCTTAGGTCCCATGTTCTGCATATGCTTCAGTGCCTGTGGCACCAGTCACAGCCAAACCAGCCCCACACAGGAGCTGGGGGTGATGTGGGGCTGGGGGCTAGCAGAGGAGGGCACACAGGAGTCTTCCCCAGAGTCACCAGTCCCCCTTCCTCTCTCCAAGCAGAGGGCACTGGTGCTGCCAGGACTCACTCACAGAGCCAGTAAAACTGAAGGTAATAGTCAGTGAAAAGGTGGCCCATCTGCTCAGAAGCTGTGCTGCAGTTGGCTTGGCCCTGTGAGAGAGCAAGAGAAAGAGCTGGTAAAGGTAGGATACATGATCCAAGGGGAATTGTGCCTGAATTATGTGTTAGGTAAAGAAAAGTCATCCCCCAACCACCCAGGTAGCTGTAGAAGGCAACAGCCATGATGGAGAGGGTGGTGGAAGTGCTAAAACTGATTCAAAGAGGGTAATCAGGTGTTGCAGTAGGCTTCCCAGGGAAGTGCTGGAGTCACCATCCCTGGAAGTGTTCCCAAACTGTGTAGACAGGACCCTCAGTGCCATGGGCTAGTGGGGGCCTTGGCAGTGCTGGGCTAATAGAATCATAGAACAGTTAGGGTTGGAAAGGACCTTAAGATCATCCAGTTCCAACCCCCTGCCATGGGCAGGGACACCTCACACTAAACCATGGCACCCAAGGCTCTGTCCAACCTGGCCTTGAACACTGCCAGGGATGGAGCATTCACAACCTCCCTGGGCAACCCATTCCAGTGCCTCAGCACCCTCACAGGAAAGAACTTCTTCCTTAGATCCAATCTAAACTTCCCCTGTTTCAGTTTGAACCCATTACCCCTTGTCCTGTCACTACAGTCCCTAATGAAGAGTCCCTCCCCAGCATCCCTATAGGCCCCCTTCAGACACTGGAAGCTGCTCTGAGGTCTCCACGCAGCTTCTCTTCTCCAGGCTGAACAGCCCCAACTTTCTCAGCCTATCTCCATACAGGAGCTGCTCCAGCCCCTGAGCATCCTCGTGGCCTCCTCTGGACTTGTTCCAACAGCTCCATGTCCTTTTTATGCTGAGGACACCAGAACTGCACACAATGCTCCAGGGGAGGACTCACGAGAGCAGAGCAGAGGGGCAGGATCAGCTCCTTGGACCTGCTGCTCACGCTCCTTTTGATGCAGCCCAGGATACGGTTGGTTTCTGGGCTCAAGCACACACTGAACCCCGCTCATGTTCATTTTCTCATTGACCAACACCCCCAAGTCCTTCTCCTTGGGCTGCTCTGAATCCGTTCTCTGCCCAGCCTGTAGCTGTGCCTGGGATTGCTCCCACCCAGGTGTAGGACCTTGCACTTGCCATGGTTGGACCTGATGATTTTAAAGGTCTTTTCCAACCTGGTTGATTCTATGGTTCTAAGGCTCTCAGTGCAATGTAGCTGCTAAACCTGCCACGGCCCCATTGCTCTCCTCCTGCTCAGCCCTGGCCAAGGCAGCTCCTGGTTACTCACAGGCTGTGCTACCCTGAAGTGGTAGGTGAACTCCCGGAAAGACATCATCACGAGAGGCCAGCGGTGCGTGGTTTCCTGGGGAACAAAGGAGAATTGCTGGGATGAGACTGGGGCTGAGCATCTGGAAATGTCCTCCTGAGCCAGACTAGCAAGGAAACACAACCCTGGGCTGTCAAGTGCTGCCTCTGGAGGAGCAACGTGTCCAGGGTCAGCAGTTAGCTGGACTGAGAGGGACAAGGAGGGTATGAAGGGTTTGCTGCAGCTCTGCATATCCAGACCTAGAAATCCCCCTGAAGGGATTTCATTAGGACGTGGTACACCCTGGTCTCTTCCCACATTCCTGGGGCTCATGCAGAGGGGTTGGGTGGGATGATTCCCTGAGTGAGCACATGGATCAGGTATCCACACACCTCCGGTGGATGTCTGATGTTAACCAGTGCAGAGTTCAGCTTTATCTGAGCATGAATCCCCTCGTGTGCTGCCCTAGCCAGGCTGCTGGCATCCCTCTGCAGGGATCAGTGGTGTGCTGGGGTGACCTGTATGGATTTTGGGCTGTTCCCTCCCTACCTGTGTGCCTGTGGCATCGGTGGAGCTGTTCCTGCTCTCAGCATCCTGGCAGGGGTCACTGGAGACAAGGCCACAAAGGGAGATGGACACAGCAGAGGAAGAGCTGAGGAGACAAGACTTAGTAAGCCCCTGAAAGGAACAGCCTCTGCCACCTCTCCCCCAACTTCAGGGGGAGCAGAAGACCAAAGAGATGAGCCCTGTGCACTCACTTCATCTCCAGGGTTAGGTTGGTATTCACTGCTGTGAGCTGGCTGATGGGGATGCGGTAGGTGAAGTTTCCAGTCCTAGGGACACAGAAAGAGCATTGGATCTCACCACGGTGGCTGTGGGACAGCCAGGACAGGACCCAAAGTCTTTTGTTGGGTGAAGCTTTAGAGGGGAGCTCCCAAAAGTGATGCCATCACTCACCTGCATGTGTCAGCAGCCGCACAGTGCTGGGACTCAATGGCCATATTGATCTCCAGGATCCGGATGGAGAGCAGCACTGGGCTTGATCCTGCAGGATGGAGAACAGGCTATTGAGGAACAGCAAAGGGATGGTGCTGGGGTACCCTGAAGGATGCCTGGCACCCAGACCAACTTTTCTTATCACTGTGTAATCAGATAGGGGTTCAGACTGCTGCAGGGCTGTGCTAACACCGCATCCAGCCATGGAGAGCCAGGAGAAGGGATGCTCCGGACTATACCAATGGCTGGTCATCAACACTCCTTTCTCTTTGCTGCCAGCATCACTGAATCTGCGTGTTTCTTCCTCTGGATCTGATTTACCCATGGCACACCCAGATGGGGTTATGAATGGAGATGCTGCTATGGCAGCCTCAGAAGGGAACTAACAACAGGGTAACATGGCCAGAAAGCATAGGGCAGCACAGGGGAGGAAGGGCTCCATCCAGGGCTGGAGGTTGACTCCTGCTGCACTGAGGGGCAAACAAGCTGCAAGATGGAGAGACACAGTGAGACCTGTGCAGGAGAATCATAGAATCATTTAGGTTGGAGAGGACCTTTAAGATCATCAAGTCCAGCTATTAACCCATCTCAATAGTTTCCATTCCACAGCAGGTCAGATACCGTTTTGCTTATCAAGATGTATAAATGTATGTATAAGCATTAAATTAAATAAATAATTAAATAAATAAATTAAACTAAATGAATTAATTTAATTAAATACATTTAAATAAAAAACATTAAAACCATTAAATAATGTATGCATCAAACATTAACATTCAAAAGATGAGACCCGGTTCCTTGAGGACACCCCAAGAGGGAGCCCAGGACCACGGTGTCAATGCAGGGAGAGATGACAGAATCCACTTACCACCCGAGCTGGGCTCCTCTGCACGGGGCCATTGGCTCAGCGGCTGCTTGATGCTGCGCTGCTGCCGGGGCTGCCCCAGCGAGAGGTTGGAGATGTCCTTGGCTTTGCTGTGGGTGAAGGGGGAAGAGGGGCTGGCATTGGGGCTGCCGAAGCTCTGAGACCTGTCTGGTGTCTTGGGCCACTTGGCGTAGGAAGTCGCTTTCCCTGGGATGCCCCTGGATTTGCCTTTGATGTTAGTCACGGGCAGGAGGGAGGGTTGGCTTTGGTCTATGAAGCAAAGGGAGAGAAAAGGTGCGGTGAGAGACTAGATCCCAATGGGATCCTTGCAGCAAAGGGAAGCTAGAGAGGGACAAAGCAGGACACAGCCCTGTGCTCGGTAGGGCACGGTGCTTAAGGCAAGGTCTCCAGGGGTCTTTTGGCTCTGTGGTGACTGCCCAAGGTGATGATGGTGGAGCAAAGGAGCCTGGCAAAAGCCCTGCTTGGGCAGCCAAAAGGCATCACAGGCCTGGAATGCCAGAACCCTGCTTGAAGCCAACAGAGGAATGAGGTCAGATTCAAGGTATGGCTGCTCTGGCACACTGGACTCCTGGTACAGCCTCTCATGGCTCGGTGCTGGCAAAGCATCAGCTTCAAAGACCTTCCAGCCCTCACTTACCCCGGTTGCACAACCATGGGTGTCTGAACCATGCCCCATGGGTTCAGGCTGGCAGTGCTGCTTTGTCCCACTGCACTCAGTGGGTCCTGGCAGGTCCCAACCCAGGCAGGGGGGTAATGGGAACCAGGCACATCCTATTCACACAAGGTGAGACAGGCCTGGGGCCGTGATGCAATGGGGAGGCAGACCTTGGTGCCTGGCTTGGTTCTTACCTGTCCGGTTGGTGGCATGAGTGGGGCTGGTCTCAGAGAGGGTAACAGAGGAGGCGTTGGTGGGAGCAGCAGAGCAGCACGTGGAGAAGCAGGGGGGGCTGAAGCAGGCTGACACGCTGGGAGCAGCTGAGCCCAGGAGCAGGTCATGTGTGTCCCCTGCGGCTGCAGGGCAAACAGAAGGGACATGAGGAGGAAGTCAAATGGAGAGACAGCCAAACCAAAGAACACCAAGGGCCCCCAGCATCCCTTCCATAGAACCAGAGCCCCAGGACCTTGCAGCCCAGAACCCCCCCCCCGTGTGTTGGGCTGCACAACCAGAGTGTGAGCAGCAGCTCAGGGAGGGGATCCTGCCCCTCTGCTGTGCTATGGGGAGACCCCCCTGCAGCCCTGATCCAGCTCTGGGGCAGCAGCACAAGAGGGATGTGGAGCTGTTGGAGTGAGTGCAGAGGAGGCCATGGGGATGCTGCAATGGAGCAGCTCTGCTCTGGAGCCAGGCTGAGAGAGCTGGGCTGGGGCAGCCTGGACAAGAGAAGGCTCCTGAAGGGGAGACCTTAGAGCAGCTCCAGTGCCTAAAGGGGCTGCAGGGAACCTGGAGAGGGGCTTGGGACAAGGGCCTGTAGGGACAGGCCAAGGGGAATGGCTTGAACCTGCCCGAGGGGAGACTGAGCTGAGCTCTTAGGCAGAAGCTCTTCCCTGTGAGGGTGCTGAGGCGCTGGCACAGGGTGCCCAGAGAAGCTGTGGCTGCCCCATCCCTGGCAGTGCTCAAGGACACAGGGGCTTGGAGCACCCTGCTCTAATGGAAGGGGTTGGGGTTGGAGCTGGAGGAGCTTTAAGGTCCCTTCCAACCCAAACCAGTCCGGGATTCTATGAGTTCCCAGTGCCAGCAAGCCCCTGGCATGGAGGACCAGCCACATCCATCACCCTGCACCACAGCCCATCATCATGTACCTCCACCAGACCCTCTGCCCCGCTGTGACCTACCGTGGTGTGTGGGGATCCTGCTGCCGGCTCCACCCGATGCAGCCGTGGATCTCACTGTCTGTGTTTTATCAAGGTTCTGGCTTGACCTGAAACGGGCAAACCATGGTGAAGACACCGACCACATGGACAACAGTGTCACTGTATGTGAAGAGAGAAGCGGCTGTAGCAGTGAGTGGGGTGATGGGACCAGGTACATGGAGCAAGAGCCGATGTGGAGAGCATGAGGAGAAGCACAGACTGGAGCCATCTGGGAAAGGAGAGGCAGGAGGGAAGTATGGAAGCCATGGAGGCAGCAAGCAGAGCATGGAGAGGCCACAGATTCAATGGCAATCCCACATCTGCCAAGGGCAAATCACCGCTGGTTCAGAGGATAACAGTGATGCTCCTTTGATGTTCACTGTGCAACAGGGTCTACTTGGCTTCCGATAGTGTTCTCCTAGGTGGATTTATGTGCTCAGGTCTCAACACATTAGGCCATAACAGGCTCCAAGCTCTCACCATTCCTTAAGGGAATTGCCCTGTATCTCTTGGAGACAGCCTGTTCCTCCCCTTGGTTGTTATAGACACACACAATCCCACCTACATCCATCCCAGGTAATTTCAGGTGTTCCACTGAAGCTACCAAGACCTGAGCTGAGGACACCACAGCCACCTCCTGGGAGTAAAGCAGATGTGAAAGGGGAGGAACCACTGCCTCATGCTATACAAGGAGCCCAGAGCAACACCATTACATGGGCACATCTCACATGGAGATAGGGGATAACCCAAGTTCTTGCCTTCACACACTGTAGCTGTCTGCTAAGCAGGAAGTTTACTGAGCTCCTAACAAAGATACTCAAGATTTTACCTGTCCAGACCCTGCCCAGGAGCAGTTCAGTTCTACCTGTCCCCCACTGTACCCACATCTTGCCTGGTCCTTTTGCATTGCTCAAGGTCTCTCAAAGATAAACGGAGCTTTCACTCATTAGAGACATCAAAACACCATATTGTCACTGCAGGACTTAGCTTAGTACATGTATTTCTTCTCCTGGTGAAAGGAGATGCAGCAGTGTTCTCCTGGAGGGAATATGGGCACAAGCCAAAGATGCACCCCTCACCTTCATCCCCTGCATCATCAACACTTCCCATGCTTGGCTTTATCTTGCATCCCAAAAGCAGATGCTTTTTAACAGCTTCCTATGAAACACCCAGATACGGAGTTCCTAAAGAACAAATAACTGTGCCTTCCACTGCTCCTCGTGCAGTGCTTTGTTCAAAGGAACCTGATGGACAGATAGGTCCTGAATTTCATCTAACCAAAGTACTTTCCAGCAGATCCCATAAACCAAAGTGCTTTACAGGGTCTAATGGGTAACTCAGCACCTTGCCATCTATCAGCACCTTTCCAAACACTCCCAGAGGTGATGGCTCATAAAAAGAAACCATTTAGGGTTTGTTTCTATCCTTTCACACAGTGAAATGGATTGTACTTGAGAGTGAACCTCCATAACAAAGCTACTGCCATAGGAAGAAAAGTAGGAACAGCTTTTGGGCTAATCCTTCCAAGTCTTCATCCTTTCTACATACTCCCTTTACTCCTTTCAAACTGCTCCTGCTCTACCTGGGATATGTAATGTCTTTATTTAGCCTATGATGAGTTGGTTCTTCAATCTCCTACTTGTTCCCTAGCTCACAGGGTCCATAATCCTTCCTTTTGGACTTGCTGATGTATACCCATCTCCCTTCCTCTGCTTGCAATGTTTCTTGGTCTTCTGTGGTGCAGATGGAAGAAAGAAGAGGAATTGAGGGATGCAGCAATTCAATAGGGGTATAATGAAAGAGTAACATACCGTGGACACAGAGCGACCGGGACCACAGGACCCCTGTACCGAAAGAGGGCCAGGAGACAGGCAGTGGGCACAGCAAAGGAGCTACAGGACAGTGAGGGGACATGGGAAAGATGAGGAGGATATGGAACAGGACATGGATGATAATGGAAATGAAAAGACAACGGGAAAATGAAAGACAAAGTGGGAAGAGAACGGAGGGGATGAGATGGAACCAGAACAGGAGGGAGAGGAACAGGATATGGAGGAGAAAGAGAGAAAAAGAGACTCATTATCTGGAAATGTGAGGTCCCAAAGGAGGGAAGTGAGATAAAACACTGCCCAGCACAGGCTGCTTGTGCTTGCAGGGCTTGGGCTGTTCCCTTGATGCTCTCTCAACACTAAGGACACTTTGCAGAGAAACAGCTCTAGGGCAGCAGCACAAGAGGGACCTGGAGCTGATGGAGCGAGGCCAGAGGAGGCCATGGGGATGCTGCAAGGGCTGGAGCAGCTCTGCTCTGGAGCCAGGCTGAGAGAGCTGGGCTGGGGCAGCCTGGACAAGAGAAGGCTCCTGAAGGGGAGACCTTAGAGCAGCTCCAGTGCCTAAAGGGGCTGCAGGGAACCTGGAGAGGGGCTCGGGACAAGGGCCTGTAAGGACAGGCCAAGGGGAATGGCTTGAACCTGCCCAAGGGGAGACTGAGCTGAGCTCTTAGGCAGAAGCTCTTCCCTGTGAGGGTGCTGAGGCGCTGGCACAGGGTGCCCAGAGAAGCTGTGGCTGCCCCATCCCTGGCAGTGCTCAAGGACACAGGGGCTTGGAGCAAGCTGCTCCAGTGGAAGGGGTTGGGGTTGGAACTGGATGAGCTTTAAGGTCCCTTCCAACACAAACCATTCCATGGTGATACTATCAACACTCCTGCTTGGTCCAGCCCCACTGCAATAAGTGGGATGATGCTGGTTTAGTACAACTGAAGAGGCATGCAAAGAACATTCAGACCAGCCACAAGTGGATATATGAACAACCAAACAACAGGGTATTGCTTTTTCTCTTCTCTGTTCCTCACTTCTCACTCCAGATAATTTAACTGACACCAGCCTGGGATGTGTGGGTGTGTGTGGTTGGCTTTACACATTGACTCACTGGAATTGTGCTCAGTAGCCCCACAGTGGCTAGGGTTTGTGCTTCAGGCTCCCCTGGTCACCACATCCCTCCCATTGAGCCAGAAGAACCTACCCATCAATATCCACAAGGTCCTCTTCACTGCGCAAGCTCAGCACGTAGAGCGTGGACATGGACACCACACTGGAAAGAAAGAGGACGAGCATGGGGCAAGGGACACGTCACGGTGCTGATCCCCTCCAAGGGATTCCAGCCCATGGAAGAAGCCATAGGTCTTGCTGATGAGCTGGAGATGGTGAAGTGGATCTCACCTGAATGCCATGATGATGACCAGGGCGATGATGGTGCCCTGCAGGAAGCGCTGGCTGATGCACGCCTGCTCTGGGACAACTGATGGTGACTGCAAGAGATAGATCCCCAGGTCAGCTCAGGACTCCTCATTGCTCTGGTCCTCACTCAGACCTCATCCTGCCCATCCCAAGCTTTCTTCCTGTTTCCCCTGCAAGCCTCAAACCCCCTCAGTACAGAAGCCAAATAACATCTTCATAAGGCATGGACAAACCAAGGAAAGATCATGGACATGGGAACGTTTCATGGGAGACAAGGTCTCTCCCTCTGCAGCATGTGTGAGGACACATGAGGACCATGCAGATGACTGTTCTTAGAGAGGCCACCTTCTCCTTACCTTGCTGGCTACTTTGTGGGGCCTCTTTTTGTGGGGCACGCTTCCCGCACGGCTGAACTGGCTTCCAGTTTGGCTGCAAGGAGAAAGGAGGAACAGAGCTGAGCTGTGCGGGGACAGCACTCAAAGGTGAAACTGTGATTCTCATGTGTGGTATGAGTGGGGCAGCAGCACAAAAGGGACCTGGAGCTGTTGGAGTGAGGCCAGAGGAGGCCATGGAGATGCTGCAATGGAGCAGCTCTGCTCTGGAGCCAGGTTGAGAGAGCTGGGCTGGGGCAGCCTGGACAAGAGAAGGCTCCTGAAGGGGAGACCTGAGAGCAGCTCCAGTGCCTAAAGGGGCTGCAGGGAACCTGGAGAGGGGCCTGGGACAAGGGCCTGTAGGGACAGGCCAAGGGGAATGGCTTGAACCTGCCCGAGGGGAGACTGAGCTGAGCTCTTAGGCAGAAGCTCTTCCCTGTGAGGGTGCTGAGGCGCTGGCACAGGGTGCCCAGAGAAGCTGTGGCTGCCCCATCCCTGGCAGTGCTCAAGGACACAGGGGCTTGGAGCAAGCTGCTCCAGTGGAAGGGGTTGGGGTTGGAGCTGGATGGGCTTTAAGCTCCCTTCCAACCCAAACCATTCCATGATTCTCTGATGATTCTATGACAGTCACAAGCCCTTGTCCCTTCATCTGCTCAGGGGTAGGTGCGGTGCTGCCCCATTGCCCAGAGCACCTGAATTCTGCCCCCAAACCTGGATAAGCTCACCAGGATCAGTATGATGATTTTGGAAGCATGAGAAACTCTTTGCTCTCAGGAAGCCACTCACTCACTCTAGGCCAATGTGGAGACAATGTCACACCATGGTTCTGGGGCTGCTCTAAGAGCAGGCTGTTGGTATGTGTTTGCCAAACCTTCTGGATCCATCTCACACCTTCAATCTACCCCAGGCCCCAGGTCTCTCAAAAGGAGCCATCCCTCCTAGCTCCTGTGCCCTCAGGATGTCCATACCTGAATGCCCCAGAGCTCACGGTTGACTTCATGCTGTCCAAGCGCTTCAGCTTGGCCAGCTTGTGGCTCCACCTCTCCAGCTCATCGATGCGGGTCTCCAGGTTGTCTGTCAGCTTGCACAGCTCCTTCACAGCTCCCACGTTCTCCATGAAGATGCGCTCCTGCAGGGAACAGGTCACAGTGTGAGTGGCTTGGAACATGGAGACAATCCTGCTCCGATGGATCTGGCAGCCCTGACTGCTCTGCCATGCCCCGTCCCAAGGGAAAGGCTACACAACACCATCATATCCAGATCTCTATAGCCCCTGGATGCAAGAAGTGGTAAATGCTCCATCCCTGGCAGTGTTCAAGGCCAGGTTGGACACAGGGGTTTGGAGCAAGCTACTCTAGTGGAAGGTGTCCCTTCCCATGGCAGGGGTTGGAACTGGATGATCTTCAGGTCCTTTCCAACCCAAACCTTTCTATGACTCTATATTCTCTTTGAACCCAACCAAAACAATGAATGGAAGTGCAGGATCCCTGAGAACTCTCCTGCTGGTGCTAATTCAGAGTCCTTCTCACTCACAGAAGACATACATCCAAGGAGCCCTTGGTCAAACCAAGTGAGCAACACCCCCATCTACCCCTTCTCTGCCCCTCTCCAGCCTTCTTAGTCTGTCTCTTGCTCTCCATCACAAGCTGTTGGAGTCACTCTGCAGCAATATCCAACAGAGTTAATCAGATCAATGGAGAGCCCAAATCAAGAAGCCTCCGGAGAGCATCCTTCCTCCTCACATGCCAATGGGACATAAAAGGTCAGGTTCACATCTGCTAGCTGGTGATATAACTGCAGGGATTTAGGCTTCCACCAAGGGAAAACAAGGCACTAAGGTCCCTCCTGGCCATTCCCACTCTGGACAGTGATGCAGGAGAGAGCTGGCAGCTTTGGGAAGCTGTCCCCTTGCTGCCCTGAGCTGCAAACAGGTTACAGAGAGGTCAGGCAGCCAGGTGCTCTGGGTTATCTTGACATAAGCACTTTATCTTATCTAGAAAGGAGAGATTAGGACTAAGAGCCTCCCTACAGGAGCCTGCCAACAAGGAGATGCTCCCTTCCCGAGGGAGATGCCGCCAACTTTCACCAGCATCAGGCTAATTCCTCCCTGCTGATGTCTGCTGTCCGTCACCTTGAAAGATCAGCCAGGTCTCAAACTCATCTGGCTTAGAAGCACTTCCCAGCCATCACAGTTTCCCTCTTCCATTTCCAGCCCCACAGGTTCAACAGCCTCCCTGTCACCAACCTTGTTCACCACCAAGAAGTTCTCAAGGGTCTTCCCATTGGAAAAGACCAGGTCCCCGGTGTCCTTCACAGCTTCGGGGAGGATCTCCTTCACCTCCTGAGCAATGACACCTGCATGGAAACAGCACAGTGGAGGGTCAAGGTGAGCTGGGTAAGGTTCCTCTTGACACAGCTCTTTCTCTAGCCCATGTAGTCGCTATCATAGAAGCCCTATAAGCCACTGTGGGAAGTGACATCCTCTTTCCCACTAATTAAAGAGGGAATTCCACCACCACATCAGGTGGTGAGAAACCCGCTCTTACCTACCCCATGCTTGAGTAGAGCTGCAGGGAAAGGCAGGGCTTGGCACCATGAACAAAATGTGGGTTATGGAACACGAGGCCCAGCACTAGACACACAAGCAGGTCACTGTGGTGTGACGTTGGGCCCATACCTGTCTCCGAGGTGTTCTCAATGCCCACTGTGGCTGCAAACTCAGGCTTGTAGTTGTAATGCACCAGCCGCATCCGGGAGATCCTTTTCAGCTGCTCTGTGGTGTCCACCTGGATGAGACAGACACATGCAACTCCTAAAGGGGATGCTGCTCCTTCAGTTCCCATCATTCTGGCTCCAAACAGCAAAACCCACTGCAGCTCAGGGTAATACATCTGGGAGACAGCTCAGACCAGCATCACGACAAAGAGCATCCGCACTGGGGTTCAAGGACTATGTCAAAACCTAGTCAATAGGAGCTCAGGTAGCCCATAAGGACTATGTCAAAACCTAGTCAATAGGAGCTCAGGTAGCCCATAAGGACTATGTCAAAACCTATTCAATAGGAGCTCAGGTCGCCCATAAGGACTATGTCAAAACCTAGTCAATAGGAGCTCAGGTAGCCCATAAGGACTATGTCAAAACCTAGTCAATAGGAGCTCAGGTCGCCCATAAGGACTATGTCAAAACCTAGTCAATAGGAGCTCAGGTAGTCCATAAGGACTATGTCAAAACCTAGTCAACAGGAGCTCAGGTAGCCCATAAGGACTATGTCAAAACCTAGTCAATAGGAGCTCAGGTAGCCCATAAGGACTATGTCAAAACCTAGTCAATAGGAGCTCAGGTCACCCATAAGGACTATGTCAAAACCTAGTCAACAGGAGCTCAGGTAGCCCATAAGGACTATGTCAAAACCTAGTCAATAGGAGCTCAGGTCGCCCATAAGGACTATGTCAAAACCTAGTCAATAGGAGCTCAGGTCGCCCATAAGGACTATGTCAAAACCTGGTCAATAGGAGCCAATGTCACCCATAAGGACTATGTCAAAACCTATTCAATAGGAGCTCAGGTAGTCCATAAGGACTATGTCAAAACCTGGTCAATAGGAGCCTATGTCGCCCATAAGGACTATGTCAAAACCTAGTCAATAGGAGCTCAGGTCGCCCATAAGGACTATGTCAAAACCTAGTCAATAGGAGCTCAGGTCGCCCATAAGGACTATGTCAAAACCTAGTCAATAGGAGCTCAGGTAGCCCATAAGGACCCATGTCAAATGCCCATAAGGACCATGTCAAATCAGCAGCTGAAAGACTCACAAGGACACTCACACCTGTGGTCCCTCAGGTCCCTGATCTGCTCTGCCTGGCTCTTACCTCCTGGATGTCCTCCTTCACTCGGGCATCTGAAGGATGCATCAGCGAACCCATGACCTTCACATTGCCATGGACCACGAGGGCTTCATCGGGGCGGTCCGTGTTGATGCCAACCCGGCCGTGGTGGAACACGGTGTCAGGGAGCTGTGCCCGCTGCCAAAGCACATCGCTGTCGCTCTCAAACTGGCCAGGGTTGGAGGCCTGTGGAGAGACAGGGAAGTGGGGAGTGATAAGCAGCAGGTCCAGGGGGTAGAATGCTGCAGTGGTGCTGGGCAGAGGCACTTGGAGATGCAAACAGAGGAGATCAGACACATCCTTCCATACATGTTGTGGGACTGTATAGCAGGAGAGGCTGAGGGCAACAGATGGGGATCAGAGAGCTCCAAGCTGCTGTGATGGCCTGGATGATGCTGTCTCCATTAGTATGGATGTGAAACAGCTTCAAAACAAAGCTTGGCGTAAGCAGAAACACCCAACAAGGGTGTTCTTGCTCCACAAGATCTTGGCTGAACCTGGGCCATGTTCATCTCAGGGTCCTGAGAGATAAGAAGGGGCTGTTGGGATGAACATCTCTAGGCCACAAGATCTTGATGTAGGTGCCCTCTCCAGCCTTCAGCACACTGAATTACAGCCCTAGGAAGCCTTGAGATGGAGCTGAGGCAGTCCCAGCCTTGCAGGGACACAAGGAGCTGGGCAGCCAGGCCAGAGCCAGCAGAGACAAGCAAGGCTGTGGAGGTCTGAGACAGAGCTTTGCAGCAGCACAAGGCAAAGTGGTAGGGACAGGGATCTGCTGCCACCACTGGGAACAGATCCCAGCCTGCCCTGACAGCAGAGGTAGCCTCTGTCTAAGCTTGCAGAAACCAAGGCTATGCCTGCTCTGCTCCTCTCCCTACAGGAATGCCCCTGCTTTCTTGAGCTGTCTGTTATCTCAGCTATCAGAGCTGTTCCAACAACCCCAACTAGATCCATGCAGGACAATAGGAGACCAAGGGACATGGCTGCTGCTCCTAGGTCCCAAATCCTGGGTCTTTGCCCTGCTGCTGTGGTTCTGTGACCCACAAGGGATGGGGCAGTCCAGACTGTGATGGGCAACAGGGAGGCTGCAAGTTCTTGCATGTCCTGAGGCTGCCCTGATGAAGGATGTGTGGAAAGGATGGAGGCAGAAGGCAGGCCTGGACAGAGAGAAGGAAAGCTAAGAGTTTGGAGAAGGTGGGAAAGGGATGGGTGAGGAAATCATTGAAAAGCCAGAGGAAGGAAGGAGGATCACCCAGGACATCCAGCAATGGACCACTGGGTACCTGCAGAGGCTGAGGGAGGAGAAAGGGACTTACTCTGACAATGATGCGCTCTGAAATGTGGGCAGCCAGTGTGTAGTTCTGGTTCTGTGCATGTGCCTGCAAGGCTACCACGAGCATGAAGTACCTGCCAAGAGGGAAAACGGGTCAGGGTGCCATCCTGCTTCGGGTGCTGCTGAGCCTGCTCCCCCTCTGGAGGCTGAGGTGGGCTTGGAACATCCCCTCTCCACGTGCTGTAGGGCACAAGCACTGTCCCTAATGCCTCACAGAGTAGAAACCCCTTCTTGTGGCCATAGCAGACACCTCCTCTCCTGCACACAGACAAGGGGGGGCAATCCAGGACTGTCCCCCACATCTCCCCCCATCCAGTCACACTGCCCCCAAGCCACATCCACAAGCCTTGAGTGCTCAGAATGGCTCGAAGGAGGCATCTGTGCCCCTCACCTCTGGTCCGGGTTGGGTTTGCCTTTCTTCCTCATGTTGTTGGCTGTGGTCTCGCTGAAGTGCAGCCGCCCCACGGTGACTTTGGTGACCTGCTCTGGAGGCAGGGTGACCCTGAGGAAGGGCAAAGGAAGAGAAGAGGGAGTGATGACATTGCTGGAGAGGAGGTGAGTGGGGAAAGGGTGCATGGGGACCTCAGAGCAGCTACCAGTGTCTGAAGGGGGCTACAGGGATGCTGGAGAGGGACTCTCCATCAGGGACTGGAGCGACAGGACAAGGGGTGATGGGTTCAGACTGAAACAGGTTAGATATAAGGAAGAAGCTCTTCCCTGTGAGTGTGCTGAGGCGCTGGCACAGGGTGCCCAAGAAGTTGTGAATGCTCCATCCTTGGCAGTGTTCAAGGCCAGGCTGGACAGAGCCTTGGGTGCCATGGTTTAGTGTGAGGTGTCCCTGCCCATGGCAGGGGGGTTGGAACTGGATGATCTTAAGGTCCTTTCCAACCCTGTTCTATGATTCTATGGCCATCTCCTGGCCTGCTCTATCAAGGCACATCTATGAACCAGGCATGTAAAGGGTATGTAAAGAGAGGAAAACATTGCTGTGGGAAGCATTGGAGCAAACTGGAGAGCATGAGACTTGCAGCACGATCCTGAGACCTACAGCTCAGCCCCTTTCACCCTCTTCTGCTGTTGCTGATGCCCCGACATCACTTCTCCTACACGAACAGTACTCACGTCACAGGGTTGAAGGGCCGTTTGCTGCGGTCAGACTGCGACTGCTCTATGTTGATGGACTGGTTCAAGGCCTCTAGCTGGAGACAAAGATTGGGGCGTGTGATAAAGAGCAGAGAGAGAGACCTTCCCCATCCCACCTCCTTCACCCCAGCACAGGGCAGCTGTCTGCCCAGCCCTCCTATCACTCAGTACAACTGACTTGCAACACCCAGCTTGAGCGTGGTCATTGGCCAAGCATGGCTTGGACAATGGGGTGTCTGGGGGTGAAAGGATCTTCCCAAAGTCCCTATATACCTCCAGAGTCAAAGGTGAGTGAAAGGCAGCCCTGAAGACACCCAGGCATGGTGTGTCCATGGACCTGAGCCCATCTTAGCACTCATCAATCAAGATCTGCCTTGTTCTGGCTGTCAGCACTCTCCTACACGCTCCTCTATGACTTAGCACATGAAGATGAGGTGTTGCTTGATCCCAGCTTGCTAAGAACCCCTTCTCCCTGCTGGGTTTGCTGCTGGCCCTTAGCTCCCGCTTGCCTTCACTCCGTGCAGCTTCAGGTAGAAGCACTCTAAGGGTTTCAGTCCCTCGGGGGTCTTCACATACTTGGGATCTCCAAGCATGCCGATGTAGACCGTGACCTGGAAGTGGTTCTTCTTCTGGCACACGAAGGCATCGTCACCCACAGAGAAGTTGAACCCTTTGTCAGCATCGACGCGGTACGTGAGCATCGGGCTGTGGAGAAGGCAACGGGGGTTAGAGCTGTGCACCCCACAGAGGGTAATGCTGGGGGGGGAAGGATGAGCCACACACCAAAGCAGAGGCAAGGAGGGGTGCATGGGGTATGGCACATGGCCATGTTCTGGGGTATGGATGTGCATGGGAAGGGCTGGGCGGACAGCTCACCTCTGTGTCCCACCAGACATGAACAGTCCCACCACCATAGATGGTGAAGACCACAGCACACATACAGCCACAAAGCTACCCTGAGGCACAGCAGGCACATGGGAGGGGAAGGAGGGTTGTGTTGCTGCAAAAGAGAAGGTCTTTGATGCCATCCCTCTTGTCTTGCATTGATGCTGCTCTTGGGGTTCACAGGCACAGGCAGACCCTGCCCAACACTTTGCCTAAGCCCACACAGCAACCTGCCCTGCTGTGCAGGGGTGAGAGCTCAGAGAAGGTCCATAGCTCCTTGAAGCTACAAGATGTGCTTTAGGTGGGTCCTCAGCTGGAAGGGAATATGGTTCCTGTGCCTGTGGCACTGTCAGCCTGCAGCCAGAACCCCCCCATGTGCTGGGCTGCACCCCCAGAGTGTGAGCATCAGCTCAGGGAGGGGATCCTGCCCCTCTGCTGTGCTCAGGGGAGCCCTGATCCAGCTCTGGGGTCACGTAGGGACAGGCCAAGGGGAATGGCTTGAACCTGCCCGAGGGGAGACTGAGCTGAGCTCTTAGGCAGAAGCTCTTCCCTGTGAGGGTGCTGAGGCGCTGGCACAGGGTGCCCAGAGAAGCTGTGGCTGCCCCATCCCTGGCAGTGCTCAAGGACACAGGGGCTTGGAGCACCCTGCTCCAGTGGAAGGGGTTGGGGTTGGAGCTGGAGGAGCTTTAAGGTCTCTTCAACACAAACCAGGCTGGGATTGTATGACTAGGGTTTGACAAGGATGCTGGGGCAACCACCCCTCCATATGCCACACTATAGCACTAATACTATAGGCATAGCACAATAGGAACCACTACATGTTACCTGTAGTTACCTGGCTCAACACACACTGGAGACCCACACTGCCCAAGGCCTGGAGCAGACCCTTTAGGGCTGCTCACTGGGAGCAGCAGCTCAGGCTCACCTAAAGGGCTGTCCCACGTCTCTGCTTGCTTCCCCCCATCACATTCCCACATTGCCTGCCCTAATCCCTGCTACCGCCTGCATGCTGGATTCCCAAACTCACACCCCCTGCTCCTGCTGCTGCCAAAAGCTTCCAGCTCCAGCAGGTCCAGAGGAGGAGGAGGAAGAAGAGGAAGAGGAGGGGGCCCTGGCTGCCCGGTGAACACACACCAGCTGGGGAGGTTTAATCTACATCTCTTTAATGGGCTGGTTCCTATGGGAACAAGGGAAATATGTGGCCTCTGCAGCAAGTCCCTTTTCTCCCACCATCCAAATACCCAGCCCTGGGCTGCTGGGCCCCTGGGGCACCGCTTGCCCTTGGTGGTGGGGAAGGGGATGCCTCTTCTCCCACCTCCCCATCGAGCAGCTCTAGCAGCACACCCCAATCCCACTGTAACTAAACAGCTATGGAGGAGGGAAAGGGGAGCTCAGCCTTGACATCAGGCTTAAAGACTCTGGAATGCTCTTCCACTACAGCAAACCTTTTGTGGCTTCCACCTTATTACAGGCAGATACAGCCCAGAGCAATGGGAGGGGACTGGGAAGCAGGAGATAGGGAACGGTCACTCTCGCTCCCCTGTTATCCCTTTTCTTCTGGGAATAAAGCCATCCACCCCCAGACATGCTTGAGGGGTTAACGTGCACGAAACCTGGAATAACGCTGGGATGACCACAAGCAACTATTCATTACTTGCACCCCAGGGACCTGAGGCTGTCGTGCCCTGTCCCAAACACAAACCAGACGGTGGGAGCAGAGCACTACCTTAGCCCAGAAGCACGAGAGGAATTCCCCTCTATGCTCTCACCCTCCTCCTAACCTCAGCCCTCAGTTCTCCATCTGGCTCTTCCTGATGGGAAGCAGTGGCTGGGACTGGCCCAAGCACCCCCCGTGCTCTCTGCAAGGATGGTGGGGCCATTCCCAACTGCTTTCCCTGCCTCTGCCTCTCTTTCCAGCATCCCTGAGTGTTCACCACTTGCCCCGTGGTATTTTAACAGAGAAAGATGAGGAGAGGGAGGGTCTGACTGAAATTCCAAACCAGGGATGCTTCCAAAACATGCTCTGGTTCACATCAAACTGATGGCTGCAAAACATGCGCCAACAGAGGGGAGAGTCAGGCTCCCCCTCCTCTGTCTTCTAGAAACGCCTAAATCCCCATCTCAGAGGTTCCTCTCCTCTGAGTTTTCCTTATGGCTGGGGCTGGGGCATTCCCCAAAGTGGGATCCTGCACTGGGACAGATGGGAGGCAAGAAGCTGATTTCCAGGTGTCAAAGAGCCCAGGGATCCCCCCAGCCTTGTGGCCATCACTAAACCAAGGAGCTGCTCCCAGCTCACCCCCACTGCAGGATGGGGTATCCCTTGGATCTCCTATTCCAGTGGTTTTCCACTCTCACGTTGTAAATCCCACCTGGAAGCAGCAAATCCACTCCCTCACCACCATGTGCACTGTCAGGACTCTGGTGACCCCTATAAAAACCCATCCTCCCCTTCCTGTTAAGCCAAAGGGATCTCAGTGACTATCACCCTGCCCTGGACCCAGTCCTCGGGCAGCAGTGCCCCTCTCTGATGGGTGGCTGCAGTAAATGGGGTGATGGAGAAGGAAAGGCAGGAGACCCTGAGGCAGGAGTGGTTCCTGGCTATAGGGATGACACCAGCTGCTGACAAGGCAACATCCCAGGGGCAGCCAAAGCCATGCTGGCTTTTCCAAGGGAGAGTCAGAGGGCAAAGTGTCAGGAATCAAGGGCTGGGGTCAAATGGATTGGTTAAGCCAGAATACCCCCACTGACAGAAGCAGAGTAAGGCCAGGAGCAGAGGAGAGGAGGGTTTTCCTAATCCAAGTGAAGGTGAGAGGTTGCAAACTCCCCATAGCCATGTCTGGCATCACACTTAGTGGAGCAGTGAGCAACCTCGTCCTCCACATTGAAGCGCAAAGGGAAAGGCACTGCAAAGAGAGATGTCTCTAATTAAAGGGATCTGTACTGGGGTCTGTGAGCGAGAGCAGCATCTCAGAAGGATGCTCGCACGCCTCAACTGCTTCCTCTCTGGAGGAAAAACCTCCTCCATTTCCCTCCTCCTTCCTTCCAGGTTCCCCAATATCTCAACCACTCCTATGATGTAATGGCTGGAGACTCCCTAACTCAAGGAGCACTCGCTAATTCCATGCACTCATAGAATCAGACTGGTTTAAGTTGGAAGGGAGCTTAAAGCTCATCCAGATCCAACCCCAACCCCTTCCACTGGAGCAGCTTGCTCCAAGCCCCTGTGTCCTTGAGCACTGCCAGGGATGGGGCAGCCACAGCTTCTCTGGGCACCCTGTGCCAGCGCCTCAGCACCCTCACAGGGAAGAGCTTCTGCCTAAGAGCTCAGCTCAGTCTCCCCTCGGGCAGGTTCAAGCCATTCCCCTTGGCCTGGCCCTACAGGCCCTTGTCCCAAGCCCCTCTCCAGGTTCCCTGCAGCCCCTTTAGGCACTGGAGCTGCTCTAAGGTCTCCCCAGAGCCTTCTTTTCTCCAGGCTCAGCACCCTACATGGTCCCTTCAGATACACTCACATCATGAGACCTCAGCGATCCATCACCATAGGACTAACCAAGCTGGCCAAGAGGGCCACCAGACCACGTCACTAACCCAAAACACATCCAGCAGGACTGGACCACATCACACCAGTGCCCATGCCCTGGGTGAGATCAGGATCTGCAGCAAGGTTTGGTGTTTATAAGGACACTACTTCCAAGCAAGGAGAGCAAGCTCACGTTTAGCCTGAATATAGGGAGCACCAGTTTGCTTGATGGGAAGGAGACAGCACCAGTTCCCAGGGTGAGAGCAGAGCAGAGGAGCTCTGGTCCCAGCATGGAACGTTTCTGTTGAGCGCTGCTCTACCCTTCCCCAGCTGCCTTCCCTCAAACTAAACAAAGGTGGGGAGGGAGGAGGGAGCCTGCTGGCATTTATCAGAGCACGCTGTCAGGGAGATGAATTACCCCTGCTCCCAGGAGGGAATTACTCAACTGCCTGGTTCCAGACCTCTTCAGCACCGCTGCTGGCAACCAGTGAACCCTTCTGATGGTTCAGCGAGCCTCAAACACAAACCCCGGTGCAAAAGGCAAGCAGAACTGAATCATCCATAACATTCATCCACAGACTTCGGGCTCCTTCAGCCAGCACTCAGAATCCTCAGCCAAACGTAAGCAAAAGGCTGAGGAACAAGCCCAGCAAGCCAAGGCACAGGTTTCCAGGCACCTCCAATTGAATCCATGTAGAATCATAGTTCAGGTTGGAAAGGACCTTAAGATCATCAAGTTCCAACCCCCTGCCATGGGCAGGGACACCTCGCTCTAAACCAATCACCCAAGGCTCTGCCCAACCTGGCCTTGAACACTGCCAGGGATGGAGCATTCACAAGCTCCCTGGGCAACCCATTCCAGTGCCTCACCACCCTCACAGGAAAGAATTTCCTCTTTATATCCAATCTAAACTTCCCCTGTTCCAGTTTTAACCCATTACCCTTTGTCCTATCACTGCAGTCCCTAATGAAGAGTCCCTCCCCAGCATCCCTATAGGCCCCATTCAGATACCAGAAGCTGCTCTGAGGTCTCCACGCAGCCTTCTCTTCTCCAGGCTGAACAGCCCCAACTTTCTCAGCCTATCTCCATACAGGAGGTGCTCCAGCCCCTGAGCATCCTCGTGGCCTCCTCTGGACTTGTTCCAACAGCTCCATGTCCTTTTTATGTTGAGGACACCAGAACTGCACCCAGGGCTCTGTCCAATCTGCCCTTGAACACTGCCAGGGATGGAGCATTCACAACCTCCTTGGGCAACCCATTCCAGTGCCTCACCACCCTCACTGTAAAGAACTTCTCCCTTATATCCAACCTAAACTTCCCGTTTCAGTTTGAACCCATTACCCCTTGTAACAACTCTTCTTTCCTTCCCTCCATTTCCTTAATCCAGCCTCATTCTAGGTCTGTGTTAAACCTAAATCCAGGTGGTTCATATGATTCCCTCTTCTCCTGGTAGAAGGCAGGGGCAGGGCTGCTCCAGGGGGATTCCTAGTGACAGGGACTCAGTTGTCATTCACACAACTGTACTCACATTCACTGTACAGGTCTCTTAGTAGGTAAGCAAAGCTACTTAGGAACTGCCCAGTAAGTTCAGATCCCCCCATGCCATCCCCATCTCACTGAGCCACGGCAATAGGTGAGAAAACAGAGCTCCAAGGTACAGTCCAGAACAGCAGGAAAAGAGTTGATGGGCCACTTCTCTGCAGCTTTCTGCCAGGAAGATGACTGAACAGAGATGAAATTGTCCACTCATCCACAGGCACAAGATACAGATGGGATCTGATGTGACAGCTACACTCACTGCATAAGAAGAGAGCTGTCCCATGGGCTCAAACGGTGCTGAGACAAGCTGGAAGCAGCTCTCACAGGGCCACTGATCAATGCAAAGCCTAGAGAAGACTGCCGAGAAACAAATAACGTGCAGTGATGGTTACCAGTGGACTCGATGATCTGAACGGTCTTTTCCAACCTAAATGATTCGATACTAATGGACCTAATTTTGTGTGAGCAACAGAACAGGATCCTGCGAGGGCTGGAGCAGCTCTGCTCTGGAGCCTGGACAAGAGAAGGCTCCTGAAGGGGAGACCTGAGAGCAGCTCCAGTGCCTAAAGGGGCTGCAGGGAACCTGGAGAGGGGCTTGGGACAAGGGCCTGTAGGGACAGACCAAGGGGAATGGCTTGAACCTGCCCGAGGGGAGACTGAGCTGAGCTCTTAGGCAGAAGCTCTTCCCTGTGAGGGTGCTGAGGCGCTGGCACAGGGTGCCCAGAGAAGCTGTGGCTGCCCCATCCCTGGCAGTGCTCAAGGACACAGGGGCTTGGAGCAAGCTGCTCCAGTGGAAGGGGTTGGGGTTGGAGCTGGATGGCCTTTAAGGTCCCTTCATCCCACCCCATCCCATGATATATTCTGGTGCAGCGCACAGAGATCATCCATGAAGGAGCAGATGTAGGTTCAGCTTGCAGAGGCTCTCTTAGAGCTACCTGCCCTTAAACCCATCACAAAGGAGGAAAAGTCCACTGAGGCAGTGTATAAACTGGAAATTATCAATCAACCTTGACCTTAACCCTTAATTCTGGTCAAATCCAGCACCACAACAGAGTGCACGTGGGTTCCTCAAATCTACATGAAGTCAGGTAAAAGGAATTTACTCATTACACAACGGGACGATGACCTAAATGCCACTGAAGTGGTTTTGCTCTGCCTAAATCCTAAAAGCAGGTATTAAGGAGGTGAGCCCAAGTGGTCCAAAGAACATGGGCTGGGTTTGCAGAAGGTAAAAGCTGGGGTTTGCAGAACTTCAGCAGCTTCTCTGTTGCCAGTATAGTGTAGTTTGCTCTATCAATCTGCCTGTAAGATGCTGGAGTCCATGGATAATCTCTGGAACAAGGAGTATAACAGGGACTGGAACACTTGCAGATGGTCTGTGACAAACTGAAAGGGTTGTGACGTGGTTCAGATGAGAAACCATGTACCCAGGGCAGGTAAATAGTGAGATGGAAGGAAAAGGGGACTCATTATGTGCAAGACAAAAGCAAGGCTGTGTAAAAGGTCTGCTCCAGGATGCACAGAGCTCTTTGGACCCTGTTGATTACACAAGGTCCTTCTCTAGTCATGAAAGCCCTGTGGAGACTGATGGTGGGAGAGAGGCCAGTCCAGGGAGTGACAGGCTGAGATCAAGTATGGCCCAAGTCAGAGAAGCACTTGGACACAGGGTGAAGGTAGTGAGGCTCAAGGCTAGAGGCATTATTGGCACAAAAAGAGAGTCTGGGAGAAGCAGGAACAGCAGCAATAGGCAAAGGTGGCTTTGGCAGGGAGGAAATCAGTGTTACAACTGCCCAGAAGCATCTGATATTCCTCCTGAAGGTGGGAGATGCTTCCTTTATGGAAACGGGTTAGTAAAGCACGAGTAACCCCCTCTGCAAATCAACCCTCTCCTGCTGTGGTGGGGAAACAGCCACAAACACAGCATTTCCCAACGACTGAGTGTCCCCAGTGAAGTAACCAACTCCAACAGCCCCTTCTCATAGGGAACAACCCCCAGCATGGCCCAGTCATCTCAGGTCTGTGTTACAGACCGGTGCAAGGACCAAGGCTGGGGATGCACGAGGGCTTGCAGCAGCGCATCCCTGCACATCCCAGGTCCTGCTCTGCCTCCATGACTCGGGTTCTGGCTCCCATCCCGATCCAGGCAAGGTGGGATAAGAGTCTTGGGTCATTCGGTGTCACAGACAACAGAGCACCCCCTCCTCCACGTGCCCCAAGAGGACCCCTTCCAGCCCCTGGTTGAGCACAGACAGGAGGAAGGGAGACAGGGGGAGGTTCCTTTGCTCCCAGAGAGGTTCCTGGAAGCCAGCCTGCCGCTTGCCAGCTCCCTGTCACCTCCAAGGAATGCAGGGAGGATCCAGAGTGGTTTCCTCCTGAGCCCTCCCCTTTCCCTATGCAGCTTGGCCTTGCACTGCCTCCACCCTTCACAACCTTCCAGCTCCCAGCCCCTCAACTGCTCGCTGCTCCCCACCTACCTCTGCCACCCCTTTCCTCTCCACCCTCTCCCTTTGCCCCTCTGCCACCCCTCCTGGCTTCCCAGCTTTCCTCTCTCTTCCTTCCCTTCTCTCCTCTGCCCATCAACCACTCCCACTCCTCCTCCTCAGGCTCCTCTCCATGCTGCCCTCAAGCTGTGCTGAAGTGGCTCTGGATTACCTCCAGCCATCCCTGCTATGCATTGTCTAGGAAATCCTAACACTTCAACTCTAGGTCCTTGGGCAGGAGGAAAGGGAGCTGCTGGTCCCAACCACACTCAGAGCAAGGTTTGGATAGCCAATACAACCCTCCATGGAAGACCAAGGTCTGAGGAGCTGCTGGACTATCACCTACAGCACCAACCCGTGTCTCAAATCCTCCATCAGCCCTGTGGAAGTACAGAGGAGTAACTTTCCCAATGGCAAAGGTACTGTGGGGAGAGTATCTCCACCACAGTGCAGGCAAGCAGAGATCAAGAGGTGATAAGAGAGGACAATGGGGTGTCCAGGTTGATCCTTGTCCCATCTTGTGAGTATGATGCCCCCAGCTTCACTCCCTCATCTCCTAAGGTGGATGAATTACTCACAGTTCCTTGTAGTTGGCATCATAGAGCGTTGCCCACTTGTTCTGTTGATGTGGCTGCCACTTTATAGACTGGTAGTTGGGATCCAAGTAGGAGCCGTTCAAGCTGTCGTTATCTTGGATGAGGCCTGGAATGAGGGGAAAACACCTATTCCAATCCCTCTGAGACCGCGTCCAGCTGGGAAGAGCACAGGGAAGCCCTTGGCACTCACATACCTGGTGAGAGCGCTCCTGGCTGGTGCCAGGGAGGTGTTTGGACTCTATCAGGGTTCAGTGGCACCGACCCCATCCCTGGCTCCTGCTTTATCAGCCCGTTGAGCATCTGGGCATTGAGGGTGTTGGGGGGAGACTCCGAGTGTTTCCTCTTCTTGGCGGGATGCACCGGGAGGCTGCAGGGACCATGGGAAAGCAAAGGTTGAGCAGGGAAGCAAGAGGTGGGCAGAAAACAGCCCCTGACCAGGCATAAAGCTGGGATCTCACATAGAAAACCTGCATGCGGGGAGCTCTGTCAGCATCTTCTCCCATTCCCTAGGATAGCTTAATTCAAACTCCAGCTCCTTGCTAAGCCTGGGCAGCAGGAAAGGGAGCTGCTGCTCCAAACCATGCTCAGGGCATGTATTTGCCAACACAACCCTCCATCACAGACCAAGGGCTGAGTAGCTGCTCAGCTACAACCCAAGCTGCTCTTACAGCCCTAGTCCCAAGCTCAGTGGCTCTGCCAACGCTCAAGCTCGGTGCCAGCCATGCTCTGAGCCACATCTTTGCTTTCCTCTTGTCCCCACCACCCACCTCCAAGCCGTGGCCATGCCCCACACTTGAGGTCATCTCCACATCAGTGCCTCCCACAGAACCAGGGCAAGCTCCTTAACTTGGGAGTTAAACCCAGCCATTCTGCTCATGCATCCCCAAGCCTCCCTCATCCTCCCCCTTCCCCAAAGCCCACCAATAGCTCTGCAAAGCCCCAGTGCCCCGAGTCCTTACTCTGCTCCGTGTTGCTGGAGAAGCTGGTGCAGCATCTGCGACTGCTGGGCATGGTGGAGGTCAGCAGGGGCCATCCCCTGCCCGATGCCATATGGTGGCAGCAGGGGCTCAGCCTTCATGTACATGTCCCGCTGCAGGCTGGGGTAGTGCGGGGTGTGCTGCTGCTGGTGCGGGTGAGGAGGAGGAGGAGGAGGACCTGGGAGATGGGGGGGTGGTGGTGGTGGAGGGGGAGGAGGAGGAGGATGCTCCAGGCGAGAAGGGGGAGTCATGTGGCACATGTTCTCGGGGGTCATGGTCCGGAGGAGGTGAGGATCTTGAAAGAGAGAAGGAGTCAGAGGTGTTAGAGCAGCAGGTAGGGACGTGCACTGGGTCTTAAAGCCAGGTCCAGCACGGACACAGCACCCCTCTGCTCCTGAACCATCCTGGTTATCTTCAGAGCCAGGTTGGATGCGGCTTGGAGCAACCTGGTCTAATGGAAGGTGTCCCTGCCTGGGGCCTGGGGGAGAAATTGGGTGAGCTTTATGATCCCTTAAACCCAAACCATCCCATGATGCTCACGAATCCATACCTCGCTGCTCTTCCACCTACCCTCAGCACGGCTGTCTCCTTACCTACCCCATCTGCCCTGCAGGGATTCCCTTCTCAAGTCAGCAGCCCTGGCTGTCAACTGCAGACACAGGCTGTGTCCAAGTGGTATCTACAGTGCAAGGACACAGCAGGGTCCTGCCGGCTGATACAGGGACATCAACACTATGAAACCAGCTGCACCATACATCCTCTGAGGAGAGGTGAGACTGGAGGGATCCAGCATAAGGAAGCAGGCAGGGCCCAGTATCTTGAAGCCCAAAGGACCAAAACTCCAAGTGTAATCAGGTCCTCGGGCTGAAGGACAGGGAAGATGCCCACAGATACTCCTGGTGTTTGCTAACCTCAGGTATCATGTGGATGCAGTGGAAGCATCTTTAGGAACTCCCAGGGAGCTTTTCTATAAGCTTTGTATTTCCCTTCTAACAGAAAAGCCATCAACCATGATATTCCTATAGCACCAAAGAACTACATGGACCATTAAAGCACAATGGGGGGCAAATGATCCAAGAGTCAGGAACAGCATCTGAAGCCTGTGCCTGGAAATGCAGAGCTGCAGAGAAAGCACCCGAACCTGGCCTGATTTTAGAGCTCCTGGGCATGGCAAAGACACCCCATTTCATGATGCCAGAGCTCCTTGTAGCTGTGGACCACAGCACTCTGCCAAGAAACCAGACCATCACCCACTGACAGAGCCTTGAGAAGCCAAAGGTGGGCTTCATCCCACTCAGCACTACTCAGCTCAGAGCTTGGGGTCCCAGCTTGGGGTGTTGCCTGGTCTCTATAGTCATAGAATCATGGAATAGAATCCAAGTGGTTTGTGTTGGAAGGGACCTCAAAGCTCCTCCAGCTCCAACCCCAACCCCTTCCACTGGAGCAGCTTGCTCCAAGCCCCTGTGTCCTTGAGCACTGGCAGGGATGGGGCAGCCCCCGCTTCCCAGCACCCTCAAAGGGAAGATTCCAACACCACTTCCAAAGCTTGAGCTTGGTAAGGAGTCCATGACAGCACGGACCCTTTAAAACAGCACAAAGACCAGTAAACCCAGTTACCCTCCTGAGACCTCCCCAGAACCCAGCGTATCACATCTGTGCCGCAGAACACATTCAGGTTGGGTCAAAACCTGATGGAAGCCCATCTCCTAAGAGGAACTGGAGTGACAAAAGTGCAGCCCCAGGCTCTGACCAGGAGCTCTCTGCTGGGTTTTCTGCTGTGGGAAACACACAACCTGGTCCCCAGCCCCACAGAACAAACCTTCTGCCACCTTCTCTTCAGCAGGACAAAGCCCATCTGTTTCCACAGCCTCTACCTAAGGGCTGGAGGACCAGCACACCCAGGGACTGGTCGTAGCTGTTACAGAGACATGGAGGGGGATAACACAGGAGATACCTACTGGGTCTGTGCCAGGCTGCATCCCTAAGGAGGTGCCACCAACCGGCCCTGACCCAGGCACTGGTCTGGATGGACTTTGTCCTCAGAACAACAACTGGTTGACTGAGGCCAAAGCACTTGACCAGGAACCAGTATAAACTCCTCCTGTTGTAAGGGCTGGAGAAGTGACCTGTATTAATGTCACTGAGCTGGGACAGGGCTGCTTCCACCCATTCTGCTCCCTGCCAAGCTCCCTCAGAGCCCTTCATCAGCACACACGGAATGGGTTCCTCTGCCTTCTGGAGCTGTCCCAGGGACCAGCACTAGGGCTCCAAGGAGGAGGGGAGGTCTCCATCCCAAGGAGGGTGGAGATGAGGACCAAGGCTGAGAGGTGACACTCCCGGGATAGAGTATTCCTCTGCTTTCCAGCTGGTGAGAAGTGATGGGGAACAACATCCCCCCTTCCCCAGCTCCTGACAAACACTCCACTCCCACCTTGGAGCAAAGACTAGCACTGCTCAATAACACAGCCAGCCAGGCAGCTTTGGCACTGCCCATCCCAGTGATGGATACAGACCCCATAGCATCAGAGCAACCCTTGGAGACCCAGCCTCCATAGAAGGACAGTGGTGTCAGGGCTGGGAGAGGAGCCTCGTGTCCTCCCCTGAGGAACACTGCAAGAAATGCATCTTTACAGTGCCTTAAGTGAACGTTCTGATGCTGAGCATGGTCAGCAGAGTCAATTGGTGGCTCAGGTACAAGCTGCAGCCCCCAAAGGACAGCCCATGCATGAGTGTCTGAGAACACATCTATCCTCAGAGCAGACACTGCATCTTCACAGCGTCCATCTCCACACCACCGCAGCGCATCACCATTTCACATCACCATTTCCACAGGCTCCTAACCAAGACTGGGATGCATTTACCGAACGCAGGACCCATGCTCTGTGCTTCCCAGCTCCAGGGGAAAAAACAGGTCTGGGAAACCAACCCTTCCCTCCTGAGGAAGGAGCTGCTTTGTGGGTGCTCTCCGCAGCCTCCTCTCCTCCCCATCGGAGCCGCTCTCCCTGTGGAGAGCAACCCGGCCTCTTTGTTATATTTAAGGAAGGGCCAGGAGGAATTCCAGGGATTTTTTTTAGCAAGATAAACAGAACTCTTGACCTCTTCCATCAAAACCCAGGAGAGCGGGCGCTGCTCCTGCTGGGGAATGGGGAAGAGGGTGCTGCCGCCGAGGGGGAAGGGAGACCAAAGCAACCTTCCTTCCATCAAAGAGCACTGAAGGTCACCACAGGGACCAAACAGCACTCAGTGGCTTCCCAAAGGAGAGCCTGGCAATGACTTTGGGCTCCCTGTGCCCTTTGCATTGGGAGCAGAAGACATACACCACCACCACCCCCCCCGGATCACACTGGTCCCATTGGACGGGAGGGAAAGGCTGGGAAGGAACTTACAGCTCAACGGCGGGTTCATTCCTGCCTCCTGGAGCCGGGCTCCATGTCAGGGACGCGCTCACATTCCTTCCCTTTGGCTCCCCCGAGGTGCAGGGATAAGGCAGGACAAGGAGGTTTGTGGGCTCCACATCCCACCCTGCCCGGGACCAAGCTGTTCCCACCTTGCCTCCTGCTCTCCCGTTCCTTCCCTCGTTCCCTGGCAAAGCCCAGGAGCAGAACAATAGGGAAAGTGGAGGGATATTTACTAACTGATAATCTCCCCACGTACTGCAGCCGCCTGTTTTCTCCCGTCTGATAAAGGTTGCAGAGCCAACCACTTTCCCAGAACAAAGAGGGGGAGGATGTTGGGATTGGGGTTTGGATTTCCTTCCCCCCCCCTCCCTTTACTCTCTCTTTGAAGCACTTACCATTCACCTGCTGAGGGGAGTAAGCTTCTGATCCAGAATCCGGGGGAGAGTCAGGCAAAGTGCTGCAGAGCAATGGGGAAAGAGAAGGGGAAAGTCATTTGAAAGCAGCTTCCAGCACAACTGAGAGGGCCACTTCTACCAAAGCACCCTCCAGGCTCCGGGTGGAATTCCCAGCTGCTCCCACAGCAGATTCCCATCACGCCAAGTGTGTCCCGGTGGCCGTCGCTGCCACCCCACAGTGACTCCCTGGCCCTCATTGACCTGCCAATGAGACCTCCAGTGGAAGAAGCCAAACAGGAATCTATCCATTCCCAAGATGGGGGGAGAAGGGGACCTGCGGAAGGAGCTGGGATCTGATGCTGGGAAGCCCATGGGATGGATCCTGCCTTGTGACCTGTATAAACCTGAGCACCACCACAGCTGCTGGCTTAACACTCTGACTCCGTTATCACCAGGAGCAGGATTGGGCTGTGATGGCCCAATCCTTCTCCAGCACAAGCCCATGGCTTGGGGACTGAGGACCAGCCCCATTGTATAGAATCATCGAATGGGTTGGAAGGGACCTTCAAAGCTCATCTAGTCCAATCCCCCTGCAACAAGCAGGGACATCTTGAACTACCTCAGGTTGCCCAGAAGGACATCCAGCTTGGCCTTGGTATCTCCAGGGATGGAGCATCCACCGCTTCCTAGGGCAACCTGTTTGTGGTGGCAGCACCAATGCACCGCAGGGAGCTGGTTAACTGCTGCATCCTTCCTTATTCCACCTCAAGCCAGCACAGATTCCAGGTACTTGGGCTCTTCAGCCACTTCCAAAGCCATTTTTCCTTGGAGATTCGTTTGAACCAATGTCCCTTTTCAGAGCTCCTCCTCAACACACACCCACTGCAGCAGAAGCTTGGGCCTCACACATCTTCAGGCCAGGGTAACATTTCCACCTCCCTGGTGTACAAGTAAAGGCTGTGCCTGTTTCAGACCCTGCTTCTTCTCTAGCAACAGTTTGGAGATGAAGTGGATGGAAAGAGCTGAAGTCCTACTCCCACCTAGACCAAGCCATGGTCACTGAAGCCTAACTGCAGCAGAGATGGGCAGGGAGATGGTGGCTCTGGTGGCTGGAGCATCCTTGATCCATGCTTTAGAAGGCTCACTTCACCTTAGCATTCACGATATGGTGGAGATCTCTGACAGGGACCTTTCTTCTCATCCCATTCACACCCTCTCCATCACCTGAGCAAAGCCCCAGCAGATTCCAACAGCCCAGAACCTCAAGGCAAAGGTGCTCCATCTAAAACAAACACTGTTTCCCTCCCCATCTCCTGACCCCTCAGTCCTCATCACAACTGGATTTTCAACAGGGATCCTTTTCCTGTCTTAAACATCAGCTTTGTGGCTGCAGAATAACCCCAGAGAAACCAGTGCTTCTTGGAGGGAAGCTGGCCAAAAGCAAGGAGGTGCTTGGGGCTATGGGAAGGAATGGGCAGAGCATCACACACACCTCAAACATTGCTCCCACCAGGACCTTTCTACATCAGAGGAGCCCAAGACCCAGTAAACAGGCTCATGGTAAGTGATAGTTGGGGTTGGCCTCCAACCACAGTAGTAGTTGGAGAGGGATGAGGCATGGTAACCCCAAAAAGCCCTCACCATAGTTCCCTCATCCTCCACCTTCACTTACAGCACCTTCCCACCACTCCCCTCTTCCCCTTGGTCTGGAGCATCTATCTCCATCCTTATCTCCAGGCTCCTTGCTGTGCTGGCCATGACTTCAGGCTGTATTTCCTATGGATTTATCAGGATTTGTGCCCTGCAAAGCCAAGTTCTGGCCAATAACAAAAGGTTCTGGGACAACTCGGGTTGCTCTGGGGGCTGGAAAAGGTCTTGCAGCAGAGAGGTGGACACTGCAGGGTTCACACACGGAGGTAGTGTGGATGTGCTCAGTCCAAGGGAAGGGTTTGTTGGTATCCAACATGTGAGACATCATTCCTCCAGGAAAAGCCTAATACAACAGGGAAGAATCATTCTGGGATGCTGAGGAAACGTTGCCATTAGAGCTGACTCAGTTCATGTACATCCAAACCAAGGTTTCCACCTCTAATAGGAAGCTATGGTCTCCACATCCCGAAGAATGCCAGATACACGCAGAAGAAAGAGCCATGACATGGGCACGGTTTACCCTGAGCGGCCTCTGGGAACACAGCAAGGGAGAATTCCCCAGTTTGGGAATAAAACAAGAGCAGGTTTTGTTGAGCTTGTCTCTTTCTGGAAGATCCATCCATGTTCATCCAAAGGCCCAAAGTCATCCCAATGATGCTGCTGAATCCTTGGTGCGCTGGATGGAGGCTTCCAAACCTGGGGATCACCCCGTTGTACTTGCTGGCAACACTAGAGGGCACAAGGCAGAGGGAGAAGAGCCAGGCAGGGGCTTGCAGGGATGAGCACTCCTTGGTCCTTACATCCACCATCTCCACTGGAGAAGGCACAGACATGGGCTGTGCAGAGAGCACATCAGGGCCACCCATCACCTGTGCTACAGAGGCAGCTTGGACCATGGCACAGCTCCTCATGGTGTGACCAAGGCCTCCTGTTGATGAACATGCTGCTGAACACTTGGATTTTCATCTGTCCAGCTTCAACCATCTTCTTGCTTCACATCCCTATGGCTGGAGGAGAACACCACGGACCATGGGTCCCTTTGGGTCTCCAAGCTTTATGCCTTCTAGCTCCTATCCCAGACACCACTGCAGGTCCATACCCTTTCACCAAGCCATGCCTGCCTGACCTGTCTCTACTGACATGGTCTCTGTCTGGCCCCTTTGGCCACTCCAGATGATGCTGGGCCTTGCTGCTGGGCTTTCCCAGCCTCCCAGGGTCATTCCCTTCCTTCCTGTTCCACGCAAGGCCATTCCAGAGAGCAGGAAGCACATGTTTTCTCCCAGATTGATTGTCCAGCTATGCTAAATCCCAGTCATCCTCTTCCCCTCCACTAGGTGTGCATTCAGAACTCATTGCAAAGGAGTACAAATCCAGCTCAGATGCCACCTTCTTCTTCTCTTGAGAGGAGTATCTACAACATCAGGCCATGAGAGGTGCATCTCTCTTCCCATTTCAGTTCACATCTTCCCTATGGATGGTCATGGCAACATCCTGGAGACCGAATTTTGTCTTGTCCCGTGTCTCTTCCTTCTTAAAACCCTTATAATGCTAAAACGTTCTCCCATCACACGCTTGCAGATGTGCAGCACTGACATCACCACTGATCCTCTCTAACTCAATGCATACAGACAGGATCCACCAAACAACCTTTCAGGACCTACCCTTGCCATAAAGCATCGATCTGTGAAGCCAGGACTGATGCTGTAGCAATGGGACCAACCACCACCAACCCTCCAGGCCCCACCAGCCTGGAGTAGCACTTGTCCCACCAATTGCCCTTGTTCTACCATCCCAACCCCACTTACCCAGGTGCGTAGGAAGCCTTAGGCTCTGATTTGATTGGAGGGACCACGTTGTTTAGGCAGTGGCCACCAAGGTAACCCTTGGGGACCACCATGCCATTGTTGTTATTGCAGTTGAGGTGAGCACCGTAGGCCGGTCCACAAGGGTTGGCCAGAAGAGGACCATGCCGCATTGGGATCTGGCTGCCCGGGGGTGGAAGGTGGAGGGACCCACTGGAAGTGGGGTTGGTCACATTGGCGATGGAGCTGGGAAGAGGCGCGTTGATGGTGGTTGAGCTGGAGGGCTGGGGGTGTGCATAGCTGGCTGAAGCAGGGATGTCAGGGAAGCAGCTGAGGGAGAGAAGGGGACAACCTCAGCAGAGGGACAGGTAGATGGCACTTGCTGCTCAGCCCACCCCTGCCCAGCCATGCAGCAATGGGGATGGAGCTTCTCATGCTGCTGTGGGACACCTAAAAGCAGGCAGCGCTGTGGTGGCACCAGCAGGAGCGTACAGGGAGGCAGGTCATTCACCTGGGCTGGGGGGACTGATGCTACCCAGGGAGGTGTTAAAGGCCAGAGACAGCAGGAGACAGCAGGACCTGCTCACCATGCAGGGCAGGTGCTTTGTCACATGAGCCCCAAAGATCCTGCTCCCCCCTGCAGCCCAGGTGTCCTTGGTGGCCCTCCAGATGTGTTCCCACCTCTTTGCCAATCATAGAATGGTTTGGGTTGGAAGGGACCTTAAAGCTCATCCAGTTCCAGCCTCCTGCCACAGGCAGGGACACCTTCCACTAGAGCAGCTTGCTCCAAGCCCCTGTGTCCAACCTGGCCTTGATGTTGGCACACATCCCTGCTCCACATGGAGCTCCACACTTCCCAACGAGCTCCTAGTTCTTGCCTTCCCATTGCTCAAAATAAGGAAAAGCCTTTTGTGGTACCCTCAAGGAGGGGAAGGAGAAGGACCAGAAGAGACTGAGGACATTCAAAGGCAAGAAGCCAGGAAGAGAAGTGGAAATGAGAGCAAAGAACAATGAAGGAGGATTCCAGGAGGAACAGAGCTGCTCAGTGATTCCTCGAATTGCAGGGCTGGACAATGCTCAGCATCACACACAGAAAACAACAGAGAACAGAGTTCCTACTGTGGGACAAGTGAAGAACTTACATATCTGGTGAGTCCTCCTTGCTGATGTACTCTTCCAGGATGCTGGTGTCGATGTTGGATGGTTCCAGAGCTCCATTAATGTCATGGCCTGCAAAGGGAGAGGAGGTGGAAGCATGAGCCATGAGAAGGACACAGAAGATCCTTGCTTCAGAACCACCACCAGAGCTTTGCAGAACTCATCCAAGAACATCAGTTTGAGGACTGTCATCTCTCCATACCCTCCGCATCCCAGTGTGAGACCAGACAGGGAATGGAGCGCTTGGGACAAGCCAAGGTGGTGACACTACCTGGGATGCTGGTCACAAGTGGGGCTTTTCTACAGCCATTTGCAAGCACTGCTCTGGCTGAGGGACACACGGGCTTCCCAGGACCAGGCTCAGGACACGTGGGAGAAGGGAGATCTTGGGGTCAGGGCTCAGCTATGCAAGACACATGGCCTCACAGAGCACGAGAGCCAGGTCTTGCCCAACCACCACAACAGCTTTGTCAGCGAAGCTGCAAGACCCGCTGGCCTCACTGGGATTGATGGAAGGGCTCCCTTTAGCAGGCCAAAAGAGAGCACAATCCCTGCGGAGGCTCTGGGGGCGCTGGGAAAGCTGGTTTCCATCCCTTTGGATCTTTGGGCTGGGATTTCTCCACCGCTGCTCCCATAGCAGCTCTGGATGAAGTCCCGACCCCGCAGGACCCCTCATTTCCATCCTCTCCTCTCCTCCATGGGCAAGCAATGGCCTTCCCTCTCCTTTCTCCTGCAGGATTCCTCCTCCCTCCCCTGTTCTGGGGTTTGTTGACAGAAAGTGCTTTCTTTATCTGTGGCTCTCAAGTGGGAGGCTGCAGCCCGCTGGGGCCGGTGCCAAAACCACTGCCAAGAGGGTGGAAGAGAAGGTCCAGCCCCCCCCAGCGCAGATAACGGAGACAGCCCCTTCCTCCAAGACCCCATAGCACCACGTTAAAGCACATCCCGTGCCCAGGAGAAGACCCTGACCCCCAGCTCCCCCCGCCGTGGACCATGCATTGGGAAAGGTCAGCCGCTGAACCACAAAGCCCCGGCTGGGGGGTTTCATCCCAGCCCTGGCCAATGGCAGCTTTCCCCTTTGCAAATCCCTTTCATACCAAGACAAGCAAATGGGCAGAAATAAATCCAGCTAGGAATTCTGCCAACGGACAGGGTGTGTGTGTGGACGGAGGGATCTCTGCCTTAGAAACCCTGGCTAGAGGGGGGAAAACCTGGGTAGCTGTTTGCTTGCGAGGCACCTAACCCTTTGTGCACCACATGCCTCCACAACAGAGCCCAGGGACGTGGAGGAGAAGGTGGGGATGCTCTCCAATGTAAGCTCTTGCTATGGGAGGATGTATAGTGGAAGGTGTCCCTGCCCATGGCAGGGGGTTAGAACTGGATGATCTTAAGGTCGTTTCCAATCTAAACCATTCTATGATGCGGAGCAGGGATATGTGATGCTGCTGCTAGGGTAGCACTGTGGTGAGAAGAGGATAAGGTAGGCAGAGCCTATGAGGTCCCAAGCTGTGCCAGCACCACAGGTCAGCACAGGGGTACTCCTTTGTGACAGCCACATCCTCCCCTGAAGTTGCAGTGGGGTGGTAGCAACTATTCCTGTTGTCCTGCTCCATAGAATCATGGAATGGTTTGGGTTAGAAGAGACCTTAAAGCTCCTCCAGCTCCAACCCCAACCCCTTCCACTGGAGCAGGGTGCTCCAAGCCCCTGTGTCCTTGAACACTGCCAGGGATGGGGCAACCACAGCTTCTCTGGGCACCCTGTGCCAGCGCCTCAGCACCCTCATGGGGAAGAATTCCTTCCTTACATCCAACCTGGATCCCCCCTGTTTCAGCCTGAACCCATCACCCCTTGTCCTATTGCTGCAGTCCCTGATGAAGAGTCCCTCCCCAGCATCCTTGTAGCCCCCATAACCTATAAGAAAACTTGTCTTCTCCCAAGCTCCAGGGTTGGGACCCAGGTTCAGAGAAGCCAAAGAAGGAACTTCACCAATTCTGCTGCCTTTCCACAAGCTACTGAACCCGTGCAAGAAAAGCCGGACCTCAGTTTCCTTCACACCTTCAAACGCCAGGAGCTCCTCCATGGTAGAAGAGGAGCCCAGGACCTATCCACAAAGGACAGGAGGCCCCCAGTAGACAGCGTTGTGCTGGGCTCTCCTATTTCTATGCTACCTTGTCTTAAAAGTCACCTTCAGGAGCCCTCAGGTGAGACCCAGACAAAGGGTGAGATAAGCACCATGACGTGAGCGGTGGGTCGGTTGTGCTGCTGCAGAGCTGAGATGTGATAACAACCATGGTGGGGTCTGGCTGCATGTATGGGATGGGATAGGGCTTTCCCATTAGAAAGCAAGGACTTTCCATGTGCCGGATGGGGTGAAACAGGGGTGTGAGGGCAGTGGGACCTGCTGCATGAGGAATGTCCCACCACCCATAGCTCCCATGCAAGCCGGGCTCTTACCTAAAGCCAGCTTTAGGTGATTAATTACAGGCTAATACTTCTCCATAGAGTCACGAGCTCCCAACGACAGGAACAACGCTCCCTCCCCCTCCAAAGCAGGGATTAGGAGGAAGCAGGAAGCCACCCTGAGGAGTTCAACACTCACAGCCAGACCCCACATCTCACCCCAGTGAGAGATGGAGGAGCCCAGTGCTGCTGGTCTTAGTCTTCCTATGGGAAGAACAGCAGCGACCCACACACAGCATCTCATTTCCAGCCTTACCTCTGCACCAGTGCCTGCCCAAAGAGGACCCAAAGGCTCTTGTCACCCATAACCTCTTTGCTGTCCCTAAAGCTCAGCAGGAGGCATTCTGCCTTCCATCCCATCAGCAGCAAGCTGGGAGAGGTGCTGTAGGTACCCATAGAGATGCTCCAATGTTCTTGCGCACAATTAACATCCCAAGGCAGGGACCAAGTAGTTCAGCCCCTTCTCACACACTGACCTCCCTGTACTGACATGGAGACTCTTCCAGGCCAACCTTCTATTTCCTACCTCCTTCATGCACCAAAGCATCTCCCAAACCTCCCATGTCCCTATGCCCCATCCTCCTCTTGGCCACCCCACTCTGCCTGCTCCACTTCCCAACCCTTCCATTGCAAAAGGATAGAAGGGATCCACAACCAGCCTGAAGAACACGCTGTTAACTCCACCGCAGCCTCCTGGCGAGCAGAGGCCCCCGTACGTGTGAGAATGTCAGGAATCCCAATGTTTGGACTGGTTTCCTCTGCCTTCCCCAAAGCTCCAAACACATCCAAACAGAGGTGCTTCCCCCTGGCTCCTCCCTGCTCTGCTGGCAGCCTCTTGGCTCCCTGTTTTCAGGTGCTTCAGCGCATCCTGCATCCCATCAGAGATGGGCTCTGGAAGAGTTAACGGTGTCTGGCCCCCATGAGTTGTCATATTTACAGGTCTGAGAGATTAAACCCAGAATGTTCCTCGAGTGATAGGCTGAGAAGTTTATGGTATTTCTATTTATAACAGGCCCTCCCCCCTCTGTTCCTGCTCTGTTGCTTGTCTTCTAATCACCCCTAAGCCTGCCTGGGTCACCTGGGGGTGGGAGGAAGGGAGAGGGCTGAGGAACTTCAGCCTGGGATCTGCTAACACGAACCAGATGTGGGAACCTGGAGATGACAATGAGGGCAACTGGGGAGCATCAGCCAAGGGTGGTGGAACACCAGTGATGAGGTGGAAGAGAAGAGGTTGTGCCAAGCCCGGAGCCTCCTCATAGCACTGAAGCCATGTTAAGAGAAGGGGGGGTTTACTTCTGGGTTTCAGGGAGCTATTGAGGGTATTAAAGCACCATCAGCAAGAAGAGGACATCTCCATTGCCAGCAATGCCCAAGCTGCAGCAGAGCCAGGAGAGGGAGTAGCCTGCAGGTGAGAGCAGCACCAGAGCTTTGCTTTGAAGTCCTTGACCTACAGATGGGCCAGATCCATTATCTGCTGCAGGCAAACCTTCACCTGAAACCTGGTGCAAAGGGCAGGGAGCTCACTCATGTCTGTAGCAGGATCAGAGCCATCAGTCACAGCAGAGAGGAGGGTCGTGGATGCGGTGCTGGTGGTACAGAGGGTGGCTGGAGAATGATGGAGAGCCTGTAGCTTTGGGAACTGTTCACTGAATGGTTTGGGTTGGAAGGGAGCTTAAAGCTCATCCAGCTCCAACCCCTGCCATGGGCAGGGACACCTTCCACTAGAGCAGGGTGCTCCAAGCCCCTGTGTCCAACCTGGCCTTGAGCACTGCCAGGGATGGGGCAGCCACAGCTTCCAGCAAAGCACACCTCTCTGCTCAAGGACTTCCCTGCATGAAGCACTTTAAAGCAGGATGCTTATGGGGGAAACTGAGGCACAGGGCACCCTGGTGACAAAACCACCACTGTACAGGGAAGCAATAACAAAACACCCAGTGGATGTACAGTGGGTGCTGTTTCCACATGGGAAGATGCTGCATTCCCTCTCCTGATGGCTCTCCAGCACTCCAGAGCGGGTGCTGGTCCCACAGCGAGGTGCAGAGCCCTGACACACGGCTCTGAGCACGTTCCTGTGGCTGTGAGTGAGGAGTTGTGCAACCACGGGGCTGGGCTGCCGCATCGGCACATTCCCGGGGCCTCCTGCTTCTCAGCACCCCCCTTTTCCTTCCTTCCCTGTTTATCCTTTGGTCCTGGCAGATTGGCTGCTGGCCTGGCTGCGAGCAGGAGGAATCTGTGCTGGGGCTGGTTAACCAAACACAGCCTAAGCCCAGGGTGCTGCAGGGCCAGCGCTTGGCTTCAGACCTCCTGCCCCATCAGCAGGACCCCGTCTGCACGCAGGGTGATGCTTGAGCATCCAGCGCGACATCCCTGCTCTGCTTAGGTGGGGATTGCATCCTTCCATTCCCATGCATGGAGTGGGATACAGTGAGGAATCATAGCAATGCAGTGCCCAGAGACCTGGGCTGCACATCTGCCACCAGCAGCTGGGATATGCTGCTTGCATAAGGGACAGTGGGATGATGTTCCCATCCCTCCATGCACCCAACCCTGGGTTGTCCAGAGGGTATGGAGGGATGGAAAGATTCCCTCTGGATGCAGCCCCTGCCTCACCCTG